AGGACAATAGCACATAGATGTAACCATTGGCCAGTTTTCAAATTCCTTGGAACATAAAATATAAACATAATGTCTACTACTCCTGTCCATAAATCCCTCTATCCCTAAAACTTGCACGCATCCTTTCTTAAGGCACCTTCCAAACTAGGATGTCCACATACTGGACTGTGTGCCTCCAACACACCTCTGCCCCTGCGGAGGCGCTTAGTGCCAAGTCAGGCAGCCTGTGCCATTTCCAACACGTCATAAGCCAGTGTCTGTTCATGTGCTACAGGCACAAAAACCATGTGTTCGTTTTTACTTCCAATACACAGACATCTGTGCAGGGAGGTCAGATCCAAAACTCTGTCGTAAACCAACTAAAAAACCGATGGAGGGAACTTCTAGGGAAAAGCCACGGGGCATAGTCTAATACCGAAAACCTCAGGAATGATGTTGGCAAGGAGACTGTTAAAGGCACAAGACTCAGCTGGATAGACAAAAATCTTAAAGCCAGGGAATTTACTCTGAGAGAGCGAACAGCCACAAGCAGTTCCTAAAAAGATAGTTTAAAAGGCCAGCAGAATATGAAACAAAAACCCAAACACAGTCCCCACACCACAGTATCACCTTGCTTTCGGCATGTCAAGTTATAACTCAAAAAGGGCCCTTCGAGCCTGGATGATATGGTAATACACGCCTGTGATTCTAGCACTTGGGAGGTAGAAACAAGAGGATCAGCTCAAGACCAGCCTTGAGCACATACACAGTAAGTTTGAAGCCATCCTGGGCTATACAGGATCAGGCACAATGGTACACATCTGTAATCCCAGAGCTCCAGGAAGCTGAGGCAGGAAGGTGAATTGGCTAATCCAGACTGCATTGTGAGTCTGTATCTCAAAAGACAAAAAGGGGGAGGTGGGTGGAGAAAAGAAAAGGGGCTGGAGAGATGGATCAGCTGTTATGTGCTGTTCTTCCAGAGGACATGAGTTTGGTTCCCAGCACCCAAGTTGGGCAGCTCACAACCTCCTACAAGTGACACCAGATTCATGGGATCTATGTCCTTTTCTGACCTTATCAGGCACCTAAAATACATGTGCACATATATACAGACATACACACTTTTTTAAAATCTTGTTTAATAAAATCAAAAGAATAAAGAAACAAAGCAACAGCAGCAAAATACACTCCTCCCCCTGGCTCTCAAGACCCAAAGAAACAGCAAGTTTCTGCTGTCAGCCAAGTCTACCCATGACAGCAGGGCTCCAAACTCATGCCAAAGCAGCCTCTCCCATCCAGAATTGCACCTTTTCCCCCAAACAGATCAGAAATCACTTCAGAACTGTCCTCCATTTCTTCACCACATTGCCATGAAGACTGCTAGGAATGCCTCAACTGTGAAACTCAGTACACAAACCCCAGACCTATTCCCAACTGAAAGTGTGTTATGTGGTACTTCTAACAGGGCAGATAAGTGCTTTTTTTCACCGAATCTGAAGGAAGACAATTAGCTCAACATATGTGAAACAGACAAGGAAACTCCACTGGTTTTCCTGAAATAGCAAAGTTCTATATTATACCAAGGCCCACAGGCATGAAGCCCAGCTCTCTGAATTCTGACATATGTGTGATATAAGGCCTAGCCCAGCTCCTAAGAACAGAAATCTGATTAGTTGGCAGGCTCAATCTTACTTGAAAGAGTTCTCAAAGCTAACTCTTCTATTTTTTTTTAATAGAAAATTAAAACAACAACAACAACAAAACAATTTGAGATAGGGTCTTTACATGCAGCTCTGGCTGACCCTGAAGTCATTATGCAGACCAAGCTGGCCTCCACTCAAAGATCTGCTCCCCTCTACCTCATGGGTGCTGGGATTAAAGATGCGTGCCACCATGCGCAGCAACGTTTGTTTTTAAGAGGTTGAGGCTGGGTGCAGGCATGTGGAAGTCTGAGGACGACCTGTGAGTCAATTTTCCCCTTCCACCACGTGGGCCCCAGACCGGCTCAAACTCAAGTCATCAATCTTGGCGGCAAACACTTTGATCTGATATCTTGCTGACCCTCATGCTCTCTTGCTTTTAAAGATTTATAGTTTTTACGTCTGTGTATATACATATGTGCATGGATGCGCAGGCATGTGTCTATGTGCCGGCTGAGATCAAAAGAGGACACTGGATCCCCTGAAGCTGGAGTTACAGGTGGTCAGGAGCTATCCAACCTGGATGCCCAACCTAGGTGTGTGGGAACCAAACTCCAAGCTTCTGCAAGGTCAGCAAGAGCTCTCAACTTCTAAGCCATCTCTCTAGTACCACTTATAGCCTTAGGATTTGTGTATCTGGGCAGGTCCACTTAAGCAAATCCAAAGCATGTGAAAGGACGCTGAAATAGAAACGCAGACTGCTGACAATCATTCTATAAAAATAATTGCTAGGAAATACTTTCTTATTGAAAGCGATAGCTGTGGGAAACATGCAGATGGGAAAGTTAGATGTTGGGAAGAGCAAAGAGGTTATGCCTAGAGGTTACCATAAATGCCCCCAAATTACATAGCAAAGACAGCAGAGGCCCGTAATTAACTGAAACCAGCACAGCCGTGGAAGCCTCATAACTGGCAAAGGACTGAAATTTCTCAGTGCTTCAGGTACTATCATTTAAAACAAGAACACAAACGAAAACTCCAGGCTACTGTTCTTCTCCACAAGGGAGAACTTGCTTAGGAGACACAGATCCACAGAAATCACAACTACCCTGGCCAGACTTACCAAGGTTCTCACAGCCTCAAGGCTGCCAGCAAGACTGGTACGTAAGTGTGAAAAAGACAGCAAGCAGCACCAAAGCTTACACAGGGGAAAAAAGTACCAACTCAATCCTATTACTTCTCTTCCAAAAAGCCAAAATATTCCATCCAGTTTTCACATCTCCTGTAAGGACATGAACAATTCAGAGCTGTCCCATTTCACAGATGTAAAATGGAAGGAGGAAGATGACAAATCTGTCCATCTCACAGCTAATGCTAAACTTCCAAATGTAATCCAGACTTTCCTAACCTAATTCTCTATACGACATGCTGCCTTCAAATAGCAGTCAACCAAATGTTTACACACAAATACCTAGCTCTACTCCAAGTCATCAGAAAAAGCTCTTGGACCAAAAAATGTATTTCTCCAGTGCCCTGAACTAAGCTTCTTTGCAGAGGTACAGCCTAATTTGCTCTGCAGCAGAAATCTGTATTGTGCTTAGTGTGAGGGTTGGTGACAGAGCAGCCAATGACCATTAAATTCTGCTTCCAAAGGCAAAACACCATACGATGTTATATGCCTTTTCCACTTCCTAATCTATTAGACGTAGCAGCTAATTTCACGCCACACCTCCTACTTGGCGTCTCGGGAATCTTAGACCAAGTCCTGGTCATTGTGGAACAAAGGCAAAACAAACCACAAAAAAATTATCAATCCATCCAATGTCATTACCCACAGCTCCAATTCTGCCTCCACCCTAAGCTGATGCACCTTTCATCCATGCTGGTAAGTGGAGCATCAAATACAGAGCCTACCACTGCGAGGGAAAAACTGTTCAAGCAGCCACACATTTTTCAAGACCTGAGCTCTCAGCAGGAGTTCACAAAAAATATAGTAAGAATAAAATCAAACGGGTCCTTCCTAAAGGAACAACACACTGGGGCAAACAACCAGGGATCTGTGTTTGGTCCATGTCACAGCTGTTCAGAAATGGAAACAAAGCCAAAATGAGCCCACACCATTATCTTGGAGAATTCAAGTTCCCTTGAGAAATCCACATCAAAGAATGTGGTCTGTGATCCAGAGTCAACTGAGGAGCTTTTAAAATTCAAATTGGGCACCAAATATATTTCTCTTTCAATATGCTACCCCACCCCACCCCAGATTCCAGTGGTCAGCAAAATTATCAATTTATCTAGTTTTTGGCCTTGGTTTGTCACTGTCAGTATGTTTCAAGAGTGCATCATATAAACTACACCAAGACCAATTCCAGCCAGGCATGGTGGCAGCAGGCCTATAATCCTGACACTTAGGAGGCTGACTCAGGACTCAGGAGGATGAGACAGGAAGAACAAGAGATCTAGACCAGTCTGGGCTATAGAGTGAATTCAAAGCCTGATCAACATAATAAAAAACCTTGTCTAAAAAAAAAAACAAAACAAAAGCCACCAATTCTAGTCTTAGACATTCAGAACTACAATTCACAACCAGTTATACCACAAGGTAAGTCTCACTTGTGGATACAAAAGCAGACAGCTATCTAAACTGACACTACAGAACTACGTCCTGATGTCCAGCCAGTTTTTAGAAATTCAGGGGGGGGAAATATACATCTAAGTTTGGAATTGTCATCAATTGGCCTAGAAGTCAACGTGTATACCTCACCGGGAATCTCATGTCTGTGTGAAAGAGAGAGCAAACATAAAGCTATTATCAGAATGTGGTCAGCATATAGGTTTCAGACAGCACACATCTGAAAAAAACAAAAACTGGAGAATACTAAGAATGGAGATGCCCAGCTTATTGCTGGCCAAATTCCTCAGGCCATTTGCATGCATATACGTATGAAAAGAGCGGGGGCAGGTGCACAGAGCAGAAGAAAGATGGTCAAAATAATACGCAAGTGACTGACACCAGCTTTTTGGCCCCAAGGCCACACATTTTCCAGCAACCTCCCAACAGTGTTAGTAATGACAGACATGGGGGTGGGGAGCTTTAAAAAGTGGGGCCAGGACACAGATGAGGTAGGGCTTCCAATCATCCCCAGCAAGAGATGCTAACCCACTGAGAAGTGTCACTGAGTGTGAACTCTCCAAGAGTGAAAGCTATTTCCACAATCGGCTCTGATCTAATGCCAGATGTCACCACCTTTAGTCCCAAGTGTCTGCCTCCTCCAGAAGCCCACGGCTCGAGAACCGACGGTACTGTGTTAGCAGTAGGGAAAGAGAGGGAAATGAAACAAGAAACGCAAGTTCGTCGGCAGCCCCCCAAGCCCATCTCACCTCCCCGCATCCAGCTCCCGGCCGGCAGAGCCTCCCATGTCCGTCAGGCTCGCAGCTGAAGCTGCCAGATCTCCAGAAGGCCTCTTGCCGGTCCCATCCCCACCGCCCGAGCCACCGTTGCAGCTCTTCGTGCGAAACAGTCGACTGAGGCGGATTTTGAAGGAGCCTTTCCGAGAAGGGCCCGCGAGGGGCCGGAGGGGCCCGGGAGGCGGCGGCGGTGGGGGAGGCTGCTGCTGCTGCTGCTCCCCTCGGCTCAGACGCCCTGGAGGGACCAAGTCCTGCAGCGGGAAGGGCACCGGGGGTAGTTCGGGGCCCGGGGGCTGCAGCAGGAGCCGGCCACCCCCTCCTCCTCCACGGCCCGGGCTGCCGAGCTCCTCTTCCGAGCAGCTGTTGGTCTCCAGGCTCTCGGCCTCCGATTCCAAGCCTTCCAGGACCAGCAGCGCGTCGCTCGTCTCCGTGGGGTCCTCCCCGGCCTGCTGGGTGGCAGCAGGCGGCGGGGGCTGAGGCGGCGGCGGCTGCGGGGGGCACGGGCAGCAGCCCCCGCCGGCAGTCTTGATCCCCGGCGCCGCCGGCTGCCCGAGCCCCAGAGCCGCCAGCTGCGCCTCGAGTCCAGCCACCGGACCCCAGGTCCGCTCGAGCGCCAAGCCCGGAGGGAGGGCCTTGGGATCCAGCGCACAGCGGTGCCGGGGACACAGCAGTTCCGAGGGTCCCGGCTCCGGGGCCGCCTCCGCGTCCTCCTCCTCCGGCGGCCGTCCCACGTTGCGGAACACCATCAGCTGCGGCGGCCGGGCGCCCCGCGGGCCGGGCCGCGCGAGGAAGGGTGGCGGCGACGGGCCATGGACCGGGGGCGGTGGCGGGCCTGGCTCGGGGGCTGCCTCTCCATAGCCGAGGAGGCGGCTCAGGACCCGGTACGAAGCGGCCGCCGCCGCCGCCTCGCCATCCCGGAGCTCGGCCCCCTGCATCGGGGTGAGGGAGGGAGGGCGGGCGGCTGGGAGCCGGGCTGGGTGGGGACTAGGCCGGGCCCCGCCGGAGCCCCGCCCGCCGCGGCCCCCGGAGCGACAGCGCTAACGGCCGCCGCGGCCTCTGCCTCATAGAGGGGGCGGGGGGGGGGGCCGCGGAGCCCAGCGCGAGCCCAGGCAGCGCGCCGCCGCCGAGACCGGCCCCTACACGTCACTTCCTGGCTAGGCCCCGCCCCCTCCCCTGGGTGCGCAGCGTCGGCGTCCGTGAGGCCTGACGTTGTCTCGGCCCAGGTCGCTATTGGCGGTTTGCTGGTTCTTTGGCCTCCTCGGCCTCCGGCACCGACCCCTGTGTTTTCATTTCCTGGGCGCTCGGGCCCTGTCCACCCCTCTCTGTAGAGCGGAGCAGGCCTTGGGACCCGGGTCTGGACCTGGGAGAGTGTCGCGGCCCTTGGCACGGTCTGTGGGTCTTGTCCCCTATGCTGCTTGGGGTGTGTGACCTTGGCCAACTCATTCCGTGAAATCTGAGTCCTCTTTCCTGGCATTCAGGGAATTATGGAGTGACTACAAGAAATGTGTTAGAGCCACTGGTTCTTTGGGGGAAGAAAGGGGGTGTGTATATAGTTAAATAATTTTGTCATGAATTTGACCGGGATAAAGGATGAACACAATTCCCAAGAAATAAAAAATATACAGTAGCCAATCCTGTACGGCTGATTATTGTCACAGTGTGTGTGTCGTGTTGAGGATAGGATCCCAGATGTGGCACATAGTAAGCGACAGTTCAAGACCCCGTTCTCTGAGCCCCTTCCCAGACCGCTGACAAGTGACCAGGGACTGTAATTGTCACAAGAATTTTTCCTCTGTTGATGAGGAGGACAGGTGATAAAACGAAGACAAACTCGATCAAATCGTCAATAGTGGGGACGACTTTGCTGAATCGGAACTGTTTTCAGTGACTGGGGAGAGTTTCTTCAGCTTTTTGTGTTAGTCCTAACGTAACACCCACGGATCTACAGAAGGTGTAAAATCGCTGTGTGAGTGTTCACGGGTGTGTGCAGGTGCCCAGAAAGGGCATCGGATCGCCTAGAGCTGTACTTACTAGCTGTTGTGAGTCCCTGGACAGGGATGCTGGGAGCTGAATTCTGGTCCTCCGAAAGTGCACAACAGGCTGTTAACTGCTGAGCTAGCTCTCAAGCCTCCTCCATCATTTTTTTTTAAAGTCAAAGTGAATAGACAACTCAAACACTGGTTTGTTGTGCTTACTCGGTGGCTAACATCCACCCGACCCTACTAAACTCAGGAAGATATGAACTCTAGTGTACCACCTTTTATGTGGTAGTTAACCTTACGTACAGTGAGCTTAAATAATCCCACGAGCATCGGTAATATTATGAGTTTGGGGCCACCAAGATGGGTCAATGGGTTACAGCACTTGTTGCCAAACCTGAGTTCTATCCCTAGGACTCATGTGGTGGAAAGAGGGAACCATCCCGTGAAAGTTATCCTCTAACCTCCATGCATGTGCCATGGCACATGTAAACACACAACACACCAAGTAAACAAATGTAATAAAAATTACAAGTTCTGAGAATGTAGTACTTTGGGTTTTGGGGGAGGAGGATGCTTGGTATGTGTGTGTGTGTATATATATATATATATATATATATATATATATATATATATATATATA